AATGTGAAGATTCTACAAAGGATATACATGTAGCTGGAGTGCACCCATTTCTCAGAGTAGCAAAACATACACCGAATCGAAAAATGGCGGACGGCGCGCGGAGATTGGGTCGAGTTGATCGGAATCGAGGCTCGTCAGTCGTCGTTCTAAGCTTTCACACTTGTAGATTGTAGTATATTTCGAAGATTATAGCGATAAAAGTCCAGTTTAAACTCAGAATTCTCTTTTTGTACGATTATGCCTTCACACTGCTGTGTTGTAGGTTGTACTCAGAGAGGGTATACAACCAAGGATGGCCAAAAAGTATCTTTTTTTAACTTCCCAAAGGAGCCTTTGAAGAGAAAGCAGTGGATCCACGCCATTAGACGCGATGAAGGGAAAGAATTCCAAATATCCGAAAAGACCAAAGTCTGCTCTCTCCATTTTAAACCTGAAGATCTCAGGAAGACATTAACTGGACGGCTGCATCCACTGGAAAAGTCTGTCCCATCGAAATTTATGTGGAGTTTTTCTMCGAAGAAAAGAAAGGCGCCGAAGGAGAGATTGCCATTGAATATTCCATCGTCGTCAAAAAAGCAGAAGGTGCAAGAAAGAACAGAAGAAAGCATCGTTGATGAGTCGCCGGACGTTTTGTCTTGTCCTGAAGACGATCAATCTGTCGAAGAGAAGTTGGACGAAGCAAATGTACGCATTAAACAATTAGAAGAGCAACTTGTCACACTCGGGATTGAAGTAGATAGACATAAAGTTCGTGCAGAGGAACTTAATAATGAAAACHAAAGGCTTGAAGCCAAAGTACAGAGCCTTGAAGAAATTAACTTGGACTTAAAGTCAAAAATATTTAATGCTGATCGCTTTGTTCGTGACCAAGATGTTGCATTTTATACAAGCTTCCCCAACATCCATGTTTACAACGCAATATATGAATATCTTGATCCAGGTACTGAATGTGAAAACATTCGTCCCAAAGAAAAAGCAAGCSAAGAAGTTCCCGAGGACTTTTATCAACAGAATAATGAAGAGGAGCTGCAAGATGACAAAAATAAAAGGGGTCGTAAAAGCAAAATATCAGCTAATGATCAGTTCTTTATAGTAAKGTGCAGGCTGAGGAGGGGGTTTTCAGAGCAACACATTGCCCATCTTTATGGTGTTGCACAGTCAACCATAAGTAGAGTCTTCATTACTTGGATTAATTACATGTACTTAAAGTTTGCTCCTATATGTATATGGCCATCAAGACAAACTGTTGACGATACCATGCCAGCGATATTCAAGGAGAAATACCCTAATACAAGGGTAATAATTGACTGTACGGAGGTGAGGTGTGAAATGCCAAGCAGTTTGTTACTGAACAGTGAACTTTTTAGTTCATACAAAAACCATGTCACCTTGAAAGCTTTGGTTGGCATTGCTCCCAGTGGTGCTCTTACATTTATAAGCCAGTTATACACTGGGAGTATTAGCGACAGGGAAATTGTAACCAGAAGTGGGCTTCTGTCCCTTAAATTTGATGATGGCRATCAAGTCATGGCAGACAAAGGATTTCAGATAGATGACATTCTGCCTTTGGGTGTTAGTAACAACATACCACCATTTCTTGGAGGTGATGAACAGATGTCACCTGAAGACGTCATTAAGACCCAGCAAATTGCCAGTGTCAGAATCCATGTTGAACGAGCAATCAACAAAATTAAGAATTTTCACATCTGGGACAGAGTAATTCCACTGAGCACATTTGGAGTTGCCAATCAAATGTGGACTGTTTGTGCTTTTTTATGTAATGCACATGATCCCCTTATTTCTGAATGATTAATTTGTAATATGCTCAATCAGTCGTAGTAAACTTAACTGAAATCAGTGGACTACTCGACAATGCTTCTATTAATGATGACTGATTTAAGTTGACTATAGCTGATTGAGAATATTACAAAGTAATATTCAGGGATACTATATAACTTATATAAAATCAATTTTTTTACTATTCAAAAACAYAGACTTTGTGACATTTTATACAGCAAAGTTTCAGGTGTCCATGAATTTTATTGCAAAATTAATTGAATGGTCTCAACAAATGGAATGCAATTTTAAACAGAATCAATGATTTATTATAAGGGCAAGTTATAAAGTAATATACATTGTTTCTAGTAGTACAGTACATGTAAATAATAAGAAATTATGGTGATTTTGTATCACAGTTCTAATAGCAGTCCATTATATRYCTGAACAGGTGTTCAGTATTTGCCGTTACTTACTAAAGTACAAACACTAAAATTGTGCTAAATAATACCACTAAATACTGCAGTTTGTTTTTTTCTTTACATGTAGCTAGCACTATTCAGTACTAAATAGTGTTTGTACTCTATCRTTGTTATAATGTATTATTCTATATAACTAGAAACAAAATTCAAGTTTATCACAATTGCATTTTTACATATCTTTAGATTCTTGCTAAATTAGAACATGTACATGTTTTTTAGATCATGTCAAAATAATAAAATTGTGAAAGTCTTCATATCATAACAATAACTATACAATAAGTACATACAAACTATATTCACTGTATTTCTTGTCAATAAAAATATTATAACTATAAGTAAAGTTACTCTGCTCTGTTAAACTCACTGGCAGCTTTAGAGAGGAAGTGAGTAAAGTAATAGTTTTTGAGACTGTCTTGTAAAYTGAGCCAGAACTGTTCATCAAATCTAATTCTTTCAATRCTCATTCCTTTGCTTGTGTAAACTACAAAATCACACCATTTAGCCCCTGTGATCCCAAGTTGGCCTTGGACTTGTTTGTAGTAAGAGTGATTGGTTTTCAGTTTTGGTTGGCCATTGCAATTTTCTAAAAAGAATCCTTCGTGCGAGCAGGCATCAAGGGGAGTCACCATGAACTTTGTTTCAGGGCATTTGACTTCAATAAGTCCAAAGGGTGGGTCACACCCTTTGTCAAGAACTTTACCATCGGGTGAGGCTCCAAGGTATGGTGCAGTTNATCATGTCAAAATAATAAAATTGTGAAAGTCTTCATATCATAACAATAACTATACAATAAGTACATACAAACTATATTCACTGTATTTCTTGTCAATAAAAATATTATAACTATAAGTAAAGTTACTCTGCTCTGTTAAACTCACTGGCAGCTTTAGAGAGGAAGTGAGTAAAGTAATAGTTTTTGAGACTGTCTTGTAAAYTGAGCCAGAACTGTTCATCAAATCTAATTCTTTCAATRCTCATTCCTTTGCTTGTGTAAACTACAAAATCACACCATTTAGCCCCTGTGATCCCAAGTTGGCCTTGGACTTGTTTGTAGTAAGAGTGATTGGTTTTCAGTTTTGGTTGGCCATTGCAATTTTCTAAAAAGAATCCTTCGTGCGAGCAGGCATCAAGGGGAGTCACCATGAACTTTGTTTCAGGGCATTTGACTTCAATAAGTCCAAAGGGTGGGTCACACCCTTTGTCAAGAACTTTACCATCGGGTGAGGCTCCAAGGTATGGTRCAGTTGAGCTAACAACAAGGCCAGATTTGTAGACTAGAACTGGTTTTTTCACAGAATACATGTACTTTTGATACTGCTTGATTGCAATACTTTCATATTGGTTTCCATGTTTAGTGTATCTGTTATTCACTGGTTTTGKATGAAGGAGGTTGTTAACCAAGGACTCATGTTGCCTTTTTCTGTTTGTRATTAAGCCAAAATTTGATGCTGTGAATCTGAAAGYTCTCTCCTTTTTCCAATCATCACTTCCAGATTGCCCTCTTGTCTTCCTTTCAATYTCATTCAGTTTGGCTTTGTCTACTTTTAAGCTGTTAAGTAAGTCCACTTCTTCTTCCTCAAGGTTAGGGGGTATTATGAAGTTATCTTGACTATCAGACAGGGGCAATGCAGGGTATTCATAATTAATGTCCTGAGCAGGAACTCTTTCAAAGGATGACAAGTCAGTGTACACTTTAAAATTATCTTCTGTAAAGGCCAGCTGATAGCTGCCATATGAACCTTGGTCACATGGTCCAAATTTTGTTTCTACAGGGCCAGGTGGACTCAATAGATGTGATCCTAAAAGCTGTGTCAAGGCCATTTTAGGCTTTAAAGCTTGAAGTTTAGCTTGTAGTTGATGTTCAGCTTGTCTCTGATTCTGTACACTATTCCTTGCTTCATACAGTTGGCACCTGACTCCTGGTTCTCTTGAAGTGGATGTGCTTGTTTCATTGCTGGTTTTAAATACAGACACATCCATGACAGGTTGTGGTTTTATAACGTCCCCTCTCCCCTTTTTGTGCCATTTCTGCAATCTTGAAGTACAAGTTTCTTTGGGGTTCATGTCATCTTSACTATCTAGATCGCAAACRTTTTTGCACTCGTACAAGCTGAATTTGCAAATCTTGAGCATTAATGCTAAAGAATGATTACAGAATCCAACTTTGCCAGCAACACAAGTGCAGTTTGCATGAATCACCTCTCCTGATATGATAGAAAGTGCAAGGTTTATGCTGTGAGGTGGGTCATTCTTTCGAAAACTATGATGACATTGTGCTTTGAAATAGAATTTATCAGCATCACTGGCAGCTTGAATGTCTTTCAAGTATTCATCATTTAGAAATGTAGTGGCCTTCCTGATACAAGTAGGTACAGAATGGTTGTTGGTTGGGTCGAGGTTCTTCCCTGTTCTGGCAATATGGCTATTCATTTCACCTCTAGTGAAGAAAGGCATTCTTTGTAGGTCTTTTGACCATCCATCTTTAGGATAACAGGGTATCACAGATAAATCAGAATTAGCGTGAGAACTGCTGTTGGCCTGTTTTCGCTCTTTGCGTTTGGTGTAAATTTGGCCCGAGTCAGGATCAATAACATTCTTATCTCTTCCGGACTCAATATATTCCTCAACTCTGAAAGAAAAATAAGTGTAGATATAGNGTTTTAAGCATTTTAAAGTCTATAGTCGTGTAGTTTAAAAACTCTCACCTTTTAACTAACTGCGCCTTCGTTTTGAGCCCTTTCAAGCAATCTCCACGACACTTCAACCAAAAACGAAGCTCTTCATTCTTTAGAAAGCATGGCTGTCTTCCATTGAGACTAGCGCCTGGAATATCGTCTTCTGTGAGATTCATTTTACAGACATTTTTGATATTTTTTGGAGAATCAAAGTATAAATAAACAAGGGAAAACTTCGCGCTCGACGACTGACGAGCCTCGATTCCGAGCAACTCGACCCAATCTCCACGCGCCGTCCGCCATTTTTCGATTCGGTGTATATTTAATTGATTATTTCTAATACTTTGATTATCATTAGCTAGTAGTAGTTAGAAAAAGGTAGACATAGAGTACAAATGTGTGCAACACTTTCAACTATTTACCACAAAATAGTGTTAATTAAAAAATAGAAAACAATAGAATTAGCATAATTTAGCAGTAATTAGTGGTACTTATGTTGCATAGTTTTAGTGTCTGTACTCTAACTGGAAACAAGGTGAAGATAACTGGAAATAAGGTAGATTGCAAGATAGGAGTACTTCCTCTGGTACTAGCCAATCAGATCGCACGTTATACAGTATCTATCTTATAATGAAATATCGATTATTATCTGTAGCGAGACTGAATTAAGTTGCTCATTACGATGATTATCTTTTGCTCTCTTTAATAGGAAAATTTCTATTTATCTCATAAATTGAATATCTATCTTCAAAATTGCGCACTAGAAATATTATATTAACATTATCATCAATATTTTACGCCAATTTAAAATAAGAAATAAAGCTCTATTAGAATCAAAACGCATTGTCTGATTTTTTGTTGTTGGTAAAGAAAGAWTTGGGGTACCCATCGACCCAAGTTTACTTATCAAATCTACAGCCAGCTTCTTATTCTTTTTTTCACTATACGTGACAGCGCTCATTTTGGAGGAACTTCAACAAAGGAATTCTCATCAGTATCTATTGCTCATTCCTCTAACATGGACTGCTTTCAGACGTTGTGCGCACTACGATCGCGATGCATGATTTTCTTCACATTGCTCGCATCTATTAAAAACATAGTGGATCAAGTCGCAAGATAGTTGAGTTTCAAACTGAAATTTGTTCGTTATGACTCATACTGACAAACAAGCAATAATCCAAAGCGATATCATTATCAATCTTCTCAAATGTATCCGATTGACGATAAAATATTTTTAGATTCTATAATTTTGAATTTGAGTTGATACCCATACATTTTCAAAGTTTTGTGTGAAATTTGATGACTGCTGTTTGCAGAGCTATTTCCTCTTTAGCCTGCGCAGCCAGGCGTTCCTACACAGTAAATGTGAAGGGGCCTTTACAGCTCCATGGAGCCATTTTGGCTTTTTTAAAGTAGTGCTGTTTTGGCCTAGCGGTTGGCTAAAATAGCAAAAAAATGCTATTTTGGCCCCCTAAAATGCTGTTTTGGTACATATAAATTGGAGCCAAGATATGCCATGGGACTATTTTGGCAAACTAGAGCCATTTTGGTAACACATCAGATAGTGCCTTTTTGGCCTTATGAGTAGCCAAAATGTGCAATGGGGCTATTTCGATAATCGAGAGCCATTTTGGTAAAACATCAGATAGTGCCTTTTTGGCCTTATGAGTAGCCAAAATGTGCAATGGGGCTATTTCGATAATCGAGAGCCATTTTGGTAAAACATCAGATAGTGCCTTTTTGGCCTTACGAGTAGCCAAAATGTGCAATGGGGCTATTTTGGCAAGCTAGAGCCATTTTGGTAACACATCAGATAGTGCCAATTCAGCCTTATGAGTAGCCAAAATGTGCTATGGGCTATTTTGATAAGCAATAGCCATTTTGGTAAGGCATAAGATAGTGCCAATCTGGCCTTATGGGTAGCCAAAATGTGCTAKGGACTATTTTGATAATTGAGAGCCATTTTGCCAACACATAAAGTAGTGCCAATCTGTCCTTATGAGTAGCCAAAATGTATTATGGGGCTATTTTGGCAAGCTATAGAGCCATTTTGGCAACACAAACAATATATAGTATAAGAGTTATTTTGAATAGAGTTCACACTAATTTGCTGAAAAAATCACTAATTGCTACTAATTTAAATTAGTGTTARGGAGACAATTAGAAAACAACCAAATTTGCATAAATCAGCACTTATTTTTCAAGTGTTCTATTATTTTTTGGGGGGATGGTGGAGGGAATTTTCAAATTTAAGAACAAAACGCTAATGTACAAATTATTATATCAATTATGCAATTGATATACTCATTTATTGTTATAAATATCAAATTTTGGAGATATATGTAGATTATCATTTTCCCCAAATGGCTTAACAAAATGAAGTGGTAAATAGTATTGTAATTTCTTTTGTTGAATGACTATCACATTTGGGTGGATAAGCTTCTGCACAATGTATGTACGGTAAACAGGTGAAAACTCTTGTGTGTGTAGGCAATCCACTTCAAAATAGACTCTGTGATTTSATGAACTTAAMACATAAATATTATTTATAACACCAAATAGTGGCAGGTAGTCATCATTTCCAATGTGGATAATTGCCCCGATTTTGTATTTTGTTCCAAGCACTTTAACCCAAGATGGCCTGTTGAGCATTAAAACAAGAAATGTTTTAATTTTTACAATTTATATAACCTTAAATGAATTTATCTCACACACATTCATTCAAAATAGACTCAGCAACTATAAAGAAAAGACATAATTTAGATTATTTTTGATAAATTAGCATGTAGTACTTGCATATTCAAAATACTTCAAATATACACTGTTATTCCTTTGGGTGAAAACTGGGTTAGGGCTGCTCACTTGCCTTTTGATTTCTCCAGCTAACACTAGCTGAAGTTTTTTATTTTTATTTTTTAATGGTAATGTGGTACTTAGAAATATTATTGAAAACTTACTTATAAATCAAGTCGTCTTCTTTTATATTACCATCAGCCCTTTGGAGATTTTCTTTGTTAGCCTCATCTGCAGCCACACACTGAAATCCTAGTATCCATAAATAAACATTAATGATTGGACACAACATTTTTATAAATAAATACCAATTATCCAATTAGCCATGTCTCTATTAGCTATAAATATTTGAAATTACCTGGCCCAGTTTCTAGTGGTTTCATAAGAAAATTGGACCCCTGTTCTTTTACATCAAGAAACTGGCAACTTTGCATCTTTTGGTGTCTCTCTGCTACTGTGTATGGTACATTAATAAAGTTTCCCAGTGCAATAGCGACTTGTTTAAAGTAAGTGTGCTTAGACTCATAGCGCATGCACCATGACCTTACCATTGGCCCAAGACTGGAAAAAAAAAACTTGTGTTAATCATTACAGCCAGGGGTGAAAATATTTTTTTATTCAAGGAGGGGTGCAGGTCACCTGAGGAGAGGGGTGCACCCTATATGTAAATGGTCATGAAAGATATCTAAATAATGGGGAAAGAAGCTGGTAATCTCAGTGCGTRTCCACCCCCTATCACAATACAATAATATGGTGTGTCAATGCATTGTTTTTATTTTGTGCATCCTTTTGTAGTATATAACACTGGCACAATCCATAGGGCTAGCTTCACAATAATAAGCTTCTAAGGTTTTTTTAACCTTACATCCAAGCACAGTCCTTGCCTGAAATAATTATTCACTATGTCATTTACCTTGTAATTGTCCTAGGGTAGTGTATCATGTAGTGCATTTTGGGTATAATCGATGCACTTGGATAAAGTTCCTTAAATTTGATGTGATGTTCCTCAATTAAGGTTTGAAGATAACTTGCTTGACTACAACTTGTAAGAGGGGAAAAGATAATCTCCACAATTTCAAGAAGAAGTAAGTATAGTTGAAACTTTTCATCCTCCTCTGGAATGCTACTTCCCAATATTGATGGAAGGAACCTGGCCAGGCACCACGCTTGTGAAGCTATATAGAGCCAACAAATTATAATTCATATTTTGATATTGATTCTCAATAGCCATGATAATAACTGTATTCTACATATTAAGCTAAATATTGTATCATTCTGAAAGGTCAAATACAAAAACATAATATTTAAAGGAAAATTTTCATATACATTTAACATTGCAAAAATAACATTTTTAAATAGGAATAAAAGTCATTTTTTGGTCTACTCAATCAACTTCAAATTTATTATCGTAATTAGTTTGTGAAATAATTTCTTTTCTTATTGGTCATTTTATGCAACATAATTATTGCAATAAGTACATGTAGTAAATAAAAGCAACCAAGTATAGTTTTCCAAGCTGCTTAGCTAGTCTCATATGCAAGCATCTGTCAACCTTTGAAAATATTATAAATAATAATTATTTTACAAATTTAATATAACATTAATTTACCTGATTGTTTGAGTGTATTGTTTGTAGCATTCATAGTTCTTGGATTGATCCCTGAGGGTTTATTTTTGTCATTGTAATAACCATAGTCAAATGATAGTATGCGTTGGTTCAAATTATCTAGACTTAAATAATTTGACTCATAGATTACATACTTTAGGAACTCTTTACATTCAAGCTGAAGCACACCCTCAAGAACATCATGCATTGCATCTCCAGGCAGAGATCCAACCACATGAAAATACTTTGACTGATTTAGAATAGAGTCTTGGCATATTCCAAATTGTTTTGATATGTCTTCATCTGAGTTTTCAATCTGAGAACATTGGTCATCATAAGATTCTGGTGTCCTCATTGTAAAATACCTCTCATGGAACTGCAAAATAACAATTACTTAGCATTAAAACAAGATATATATCAGTTTTTTAATGAAATGTCAATGCATTTAATAGAAAATAAAAAAATATTAAAAGCAAGCCAAATATCTAAAACTCCCAATCATTCATCCCACTTTCACATCCATTCCTTAATTTCATGAAAATATTTTATGCACAAGCTAAGGTCCATGTTTAAGCTTGAATCATACTTAACATAGACTGGCAACCTAAGTTACATTACAAAATTGATTATAATATCTTGTATTAATATATGGCCTGTGTATTGAAGTATGTGTGCTAGCATGGGCAGAAAAAATAATTTTATTTGCAGATTTATAATAGAAAACATAAAGCCTCTTACTTTAGTCTTAATATCGTCAGCCGAACCCATACATTCCCGACACTTAAAATTTGCACCTGGTCCTATCTTATATCCTCCCATTTCTTGAGATCCAAGATTATCACCAGAGGAATATGCTATAGTGCCCCTGAGGATTTTCTCTTCCCCATTGATAGTACAATGGAACCCTTCATCCTAAAAAATGGAAAATAATTAATACATTGTAATTAAGGTTAATGTTAAAAACTAATTAATTAAGCATTATATCCGGATCCGTGGGCCATTTATACTAAGAAACGGATATAAATCCATGCACAGAGTATCACGAACTACTCGCTGCACTCATTTACCTCACGATTATTATTTTGTTTGACAAAAGTTGCACGCAGTTGACATACCTCTTCAAGTTCGGAAAGTTCCTCCATAAATGTCTCCAGTATAGTGTTTATTCCATATTTTTTTACTATGGGTCTCGCTGCAACAGCTAGCAATTGAATAGTTTTTAATTGCGAACGAAATTCAGGACGAATGTTTCCCAAAGTGTAATAGAATAAACCTGCCAAGGCAAAAGATGCATATATACATATCATTAATGCAACCACGTGACTACACAGGAAGCCCAAGTCTATTTTGGCTTTTTATAAACGACAGATAGCCAGATAATTATGTGGCATAAAAAAATATTTGCAAGACTATACTTTATAACACTTTTTAGATTAGTAATAAGTATATTTTTAAAGCGTCTCCAAATATACAACGATATTGAATTTCGTACGGTGATTCCCATACACAATATAGAAAGTGTCATATCAACCTCGAATTGCCAGTATGACATCATACGACGTCAATAAGTTGTCATATTACATGCCGGTTTGTTACCTAGTTTGTGCTTTGAAGTCTTACTTCCCAGTGGATTCACAATTTCAATTTCATCATAATATAATAAAATTTGTAGTGCTGTTGGATATCTTTTGAACAATGGATGATTCTTAAATGCCTCTCCGTCACAAAAGTCTGCCAATAGACCATCAACTCGCTGATGTGGGTGCTCAACCTACAAGATAAAAAAAAACACTTAATCACATTTTGCTTTTGGACAAACATGCCGCACATGTTAGCAGAATAATAACAATTTAGTTCTTATTACAGTACGTACGCATAATACGATGTGTCAGGGCAATGAAGTCTTATTTAAAAAAGTTCACCTCATAATAGATAGATGGGTCACTCAGCATTTGCTGTAGACTTTTTAAAAATGGTATTTCAATAACCTCATCGGTTTTTCTTACAGCCGTTCTATCGACACCATTTCTTCTGTGGCCATGTGTTAAGCCGACAACTCTGCGTACTGGTTCCTAAAATTAATTACATATTAAAAAATATCAATTAAATATTGAGAAAAAAAAAGGCTCCACATTGACATAAATGGTTAAAATGCTATTCAATTCCATTATTATATCAATTAAACCGACACGCGKCCCAAATACAATGAAACGAACTGACTTACCACAAGTCCAAACATTTTCTTGAATGCAGCATTTTGCTTGTATTTTGTTTCAATCCCAAGGAAGGGATTATTGGTTATACTGTCACGAGTATTCAGTTCATCAAAAAATTCTTGAAGTCCCGGAACTGCTCTAAAATCTACTCCTGCAGAATCAAGTCGATTATATAGGTTGTTTCTTAAGAGTGAGATAGAGTTTTGCACAATTGACGTAGTGTTGGCTACAACAGTATCGATCGTCTTTTGAGTAAGTTTATGGCTTTCTTTGGTTCCAAGCAGGTATGCTGCGTTCAATCTTCTCACATTGTCCTCGTTTAAAGCATCATATCGTCCATCACCGGAAACGCTACTTTCTGGTTGTTCTCCGGGTTGATCAATTGCTTGTGCTGCGTCTTCATTAGACATACTAAATGAATCAAGACCAATATGATCATTATCCGCGCAGGCCTGTTCGCCGATGTTCATACATGGTTCAGTTTCTAATGATTGTTCCAGCGGTCTGACTCCATCGAGTACTTTATGCATGATGTCGCGATGCTTTCTGCGTAAATGTGTTTTGAATCCTTCGAAGTCATCATAACTTTTGGAACAGCCAGGAGCTTGACAGACGATATGGAAGTTTTCGTCTTTTTTATGGCATCTTTCAAGATGATTTTTCATGAGAGAAAGGGTCAATAGCATGGAAACACACATAGAGCATGCTAAAGGCATTTTGTTGGCGCGTCATACAGTAATATAGTTTCAATGATCTCTTAAGTTTAAACACCGCGCGCTCTTGTTATACAATACATCAAACAAAAAAGGCGCGCAATCCGCGGCAAACATTTACTGATGTGAAGATTGACACACATCATTCATCTACTTAAAGGCTGTGCCGCCAGTATTCGTTGCGAGCTTCTGTAAACTTTTCACCCAAAAATTGAATGTAGGGATTTTTCTCTATCGCAGCAGAATAATATTAATTTGTCATTTTGACAAAAACGACGTCTGGATGATACTCTGCTTCATCACAGTTAATTGTTTGTCGGCGAATGACTGGTGTATCAGTTAACATGATTGACATATCAGCTACAATAGCCTATTGTTATCTAACATTCAAAAGCTATTACTAATGTTCTAATCTTTCTTTTACCTTCGACCTTCGAGGAGCGTAAAGACTGAATTTTGCTGCTAGAGTGTATTTGAAATCACTGTCCATTACTGACACCATGGCGCTTAATACAATGAATGTAGAACAGCTGGCAATCTTGATGCACGAAAAAGAAGTAAAAGCAGAGGTTATTGAAGTTTTCGAAGGTAATTAAGAGTATCCTCGGTGTAACCGGCTTCGAGTTTGAATTTTCTTTCGTTGGAGCCTTGATTACTACAAATTTAACTTGGTTTGGTTTCAATTATAGCTGCAGAAATTGATGGACAATTGTTTATCTCGATGACAAGAGCAGAAATCTATGACATGTTTAAAACGCTCGCGTTGAAGCGCGCTGCATTTAGCGCATGGGAGGCCATTACAGGACTGGTAAGTTTGAACAGGCTTTGTATTGAGCTCATTCATAAGTCTCATCATCATTTAGAACGTAAGTGTATTTGTGTTTGACTCTACTTGAATTCATTATTGACGAAAAAAAAATATAGGGCTTATTTAAGTGAAATTTTAAGAACTTTGTTGGCGAACTCGTTAGCGCAGTGAACGTCTTCTTGTCACGTGCAAAATTTTTGGCGGTAAAGTCGACGCGCATGCTCTYACTACTGTGTATTGCATTACAATCCTAGAGCGACACTGACAGACCTGGAGGTAATGAAGTCGCAGTCGGCAATGAAAGGAAAAGAACGAGAGCGGTCATTGAATCGGATGATGAAGAAGAAGTGTTAGACAGTCAATCAATTAATAGTGATACTAATAAAAGGCCACGAGAAGACCAAAATGAAGACGAAGGGAGTGAATTTCAATGCTCAACACCCAACACACCCAGCACGCTCGATACCTCAAAGGTCAGTACAAAAGTTTAATTGCATCTTTACAAGTTAATATTCTCTAAATCTGCACTAAAGTACTGCTATACTAAGTAGTTTTTTTTAATGTAGACCTTAACTACATTGCTGCTTTATCCGTCATATGCTAATTTTTTCCCTTCGCTTAAAGAAAGAGCTAATTATGCGCGGTAGTGTTTACTTGAAATTTTAAGGGCTTAAAGCGTTAAATTGTGTTTTTAACCTTTTAGTCATCTTCGTGTTCATCTTCCTCATTTACTGATRCTGGTGGGAACTCGTCACCCCAGGTAGGTCTTATTATTAACTAGAATGTCAAAATATATTTTTCTTCAGAGTTTTTTAAAAGTTGATTTAAAATTTTTAAATTTTAGTTTAATGATTATTTTTAATCTCATTAGAATATATTTTTCTTGACGGATTTCCTTTTTACCTTGAGATCAGAGTTGAGACGATAATTGTGTTTGTAGCTTTAAAACATGGATTCGTTTCATACTTAAACATATGTTGTCTTTTGGATTTTCTGGAWTTTTTGGCCAGTTSATAAATATAATTATACATGCTTCTTTGATACTATGGAGGCCCAGCAAGCATAAAGTTGTACTGTTTACTTGTAACCACACCAAATGTGATAGAAGCTGTAATATTGCCTCTGGAGCACATTGTTTGTGTGTGGATAAGTGGATTTGTATGGAACTTTATCTGTGGGCATTTGGTGACAGTAGCATGTATATATTTTTTAGGGGAAAAGAAAAATCTCAGATACTGAAAGGCTGCGAAGAAAACAGAGAAAACAAAATCAGAAGGAAAAGAAAAAAAGATTATCAAAAATCAAATATTCTGAATTGCAAGAGGAAAATACCTATTTAAAAACTGTTAATGAGAAGCTGGATTTAGAAAATAGAAGTCATATAAAAGAATTGAGGACAAAAGTGGTTAATGTTCAAAAATGGAAATCAGTTGCACACCGTTTTAAAGCATTAAGTGATCGGTTAGTTCCAAGAATTAATTTAGATCAATTAATACCAGTTAATGATGAAAAGGACTGTGAAGTTGTACTTGGTAAGGGCAGATTTGGTATTTGTAAGCTAAAACAGTTGAATCTAACTGGGACAAAGTGCTATGTTGCGGTTAAAGAATATTTTCACAATAGTGTCGAGTTAAAAGATGTACTTTATGAGGTAAAAATTGTACAGCAATTATCCCACAAATGCTTTCCATTTGTTTTTGGAGTTTGCACTGAAAATGTTTTACAAATAGTATTTGAGCTTTGCTCTGAAGGTGATATACATACATTGCCAATGACTATTCACTCAGTATTAAAAAGTAAATGCAGTCCGGAAATTAGTCAATGGTATCTTGTATTGTATGACTGYGCTGATGCACTTYATTATTTGCATAAATCATGTTCAGTAGTTCATAATGATTTGAAGAGTGATAACATAGTCATTATAATGTCAAATAATGTGTTTTTGCCTAAGATAATTGATTTTAATAAGGCTAGGTATATAAATGACTGCATTGTTAAGWCATTGTCTATTGAAGAAAGAAATGCTTATGTCAATATGTACCCTCACATAGCACCAGAGATCGCAAATGGTCTGTCAAAAAAATGYCCATCAACCGATATTTATAGTTTTGGTTTTGTAATCAAACAGATTCAAAAGGTTTGTAAATCAGAATTTCTTTCTGATGTTTCTATTGCATGCATGAGGAAAAAAGCAGTTGAAAGGCCAACTGCAGAGCAGCTCTATCATAAATTCAAAACAGTTATTTAGAGTACATTTACATGTTCCCTTGATATGGGATATGCTCAATACACCCTGCATCTGATTGTAAATACTTTCAAACTGAACAATTATATTGTGACTTATATGATTTTAACTTTATTCATTTTACCATGCCATTAAACATATTTTAGACAATTCAAATCTCCACTATATTGTTACTGTATCCCTTAGAAGTTAAAAGTGGGTCAACCAGCTAAAAAAATTCATGTGCATATACAAGTGTGAATCAGATTGCATGTAATTATTCCCCATATATAATTCATCATTTTAAATCTTAATGACCATAGAAAATTGAAATGAAAATGTAGTTTTTGTATCATACCATATTTTTTGCAAACTAAAAATTTGATGTCGGCCAATAGGTTAGGGTTTAAAAGTTACTATGTTACAGAACATTTATAATTGTGGTTGCTTTTTTATATTTTACTTCTTATTTGAGATGTGTAAATAATATTTCTTTGTGTCATGATATTATTTGAGAAATACATTAGATTTTTAAAGGTATCCTATTGGTGATATCAAATTTTGATTTKKTTGCTTTCAAACTCGCTTCCCTTTTTCTTCAAATAGACAACCACTATAGATGAACCAACTTAATTGTCATTTAACTATCATATATTGAGAAGAGAAACTGAATGAATAAATGTATTTAGTCAATGTTGCATTTTGGAATTCTAGGGGGACTGGCTGAAGAACTACAGCTTACCTAAAAGGGTAATTAATCCATAAATTAATAATATATCATATTTATATTTTTTTGTTGACTGTTGCTGTGAGTTTGATAATTGTATTGAGTACTATCTATATTTATATACTAGTTTTTCTTTTTTTATTTGCAATTATTCTATTTTATACTTTTTTTCAGTTTTCGTATGCTGTTGAGGCAGGGCTGAAAAGTAACTTTCTGCCACCTAACCTTATAAACGAACTCATACGAGATGTTTGCACAAGTGTGCAGAATCACACTCGCAGCCCAAACAAATATGAGAGGGAGGAGGTTGCCAAAAAGATTTGTGGGGAATACCCTTTCTTAAAAGCACCCCAGCTCAGTAAGGACACAAAACCCTGGGTAAGTAATAATATTTATATTATAGTGCAGTGTTTGTAGGAGTGGGAAACTGACYGTGATAGTTACTGCACTTTTACAGTACAGTACGTTTCCCACTTCTACAAAAAAAACTGCATATGTAAATGCATGACACTGCCATTAGTACAATGCAGGTAACAATTTTAACTGCAAGTGTGAAATAGTTATCATTATATTTCATTTAGAAGATGTGATTTGCATTGCCAGGATGTTGGGCTTTGTTGGACTTGACTCCTTGCATGTAATTAATTAGTCTCAGATTTGACTTAAAGGCTGTTTACTCAACTCTAGGCAAGAATAGAATGGTTTTTCAGTCACATCAAGCTAGCATGCCAATTTAGGCAGGCGTTCCACACATAGTCCAAAGGATATAAGTAGTAAAAATTGTTAAAAAAAAAGATGGCGGACAGATAAATTATTATGAACTAAAAGAGTTGAAAACTAATTCAAGAATGTCCAAATAAATCTCAAAAACACATTTTACTATACCTCAACCAGCTGGTTTCTTTTTTAATCTTTTTTATTCAGTATTTTTTGCATTTACAATGTTACGTGTATTTTTTGAATATTTTCAGGGATCACTGGAGGTCAAGATCATGAACAGATTCAAAAAGCTACAGAGAAGGAAATCAAGGCATGACACCGAAAGAGTAAAAACGMCCTCTCCACCAAAAAAGTCTTGGCTGGCAGTGCCAAATGTCCCAAATTTAAATGAGGTTGAGRAGGCTGTCATTTCCATTCAGCAAGAATGGAAAAAAAGCAGGAAGGATCATGGGGTCATAAAGAGCTTGATGGGAATAACCTATGGCAGGAGGAGGGAAATGATCCTCTCCGAAGAAAGGCCACTTACTGAGATTCTGAAGGCATTTCCTCCGTTATCAAATACTCTCTATGTAAGTATAAAACTTCTATAGATTTTAATTTTAGATTAGGGCTCAATAATTTTTTTTTATCATTTGATAAATGAGTACCAGCAACGTTTGCCTGGAAGTTTGATAATTAATCTTTGATATATTTGTTTTAAGATAAAATCAGACTTTGGGAGGATTCTTGGAAAGGAAGATGTGGCGAAGCAAATAAAGAGTAACTTATCAGAAGTGTGGAAAGAGAGAGTTTTGGCATATGCCAAAACTTTGCCAAAACTTCAAGGAGTTTTAGATGAAATGGAGTCTGCGGTAGACAGTGGCTGCAATGAAGAAGGTAGAACTTTGTTGTCATGATCCTTTATACGTGTTAATATATACAGCTTACTGTACAGTGTAGAGAGCTACTTTCTAGATATTCTTTAAGTCATTATTAATTATGTGTCCATTTGTTGTGCTGTCTATGTTAACACAAAGGCAGAAAATTGCAAGTATGTAGTGCACTTAATTTATACATATCAGTGTGTTTCGAACTGTAAGAGTGCTCACAAGTTTAAAAAGGAACAAAAATACCATTATTTGATCATAATATGCTGTCTTGACCTAGTATAAAGATGCATAAGTCAAAGTTGACTTATAACATAACATACAGTATATTGAATTTGAATTCACATTTTCAGAATGCAAAGAAAGGGCAACTCTGCAGCTGGCTTCGTTAATGTTGAGGCCACCAAACAAAAAAGGGCAAAACAATGAGCACGAGGAGGCCGTGATAAAAGTTCTCCAAACAGAGGTAAATATTTATATGTACTTTTAATCTAATTCATTTTTCTCTGGTGAATTTTGAAGTAAAAGTGTCATCTGCATTTATTATTTGACACAAAAAGTAACTAAATGTTTGTTTGTTTGTTTTTTTTTTTTTTCACAGGGTCAGCAGTCATTCGATCAACAACTTAAAAAGATCATTCAACCTTGTATTGTAGTTAGTGACAATCTGTATAATGGAGACCTGATGTATGTTGTTTCTGAGGGCACCCAAATGTGCAATATCACCACAAAGAAGATTGGAGATGCCCTGGTGGTATTGTTGGCCACATATTTCTTGTACAACATGTCCTACACAACTGGCAAGAATGTTTACAAGTTTTTAGAGCTGACAATGATGGGTTTAAATTATGAGAAGAATCCTGTTTCAGTGGAGACTACAATTGGTGTTTTGTCAAACTTTGRCAAAAAGTAGTTCAACCAAACTATCATTCTTCCTCATATTTCAAACCCATTCACATACAAATCATACATGTTATTTACTTTGAAAAGGCATTACCAGCAAAGTGAAATTCCAAATTTATGAGCAATTTGATTTTGATATATTTTATGATGTTATCCTGTCAGTTTTAAAAATTCATAAACATTCTCAAATAATTCTTAATTTTTGGTATTGGAATAGTTTTATCAAACATGATGAATAAACGTTTTAATAATTCTGTCCCATGTACACTAATATTCATATATATCAAAGTAGCCTTAAAAATTATGGGATACCATTGCTGTAATTTTTTCTTTAGAAAGTGCAACTCAAATCTGCAGCATCCATGTATAGTTCCATGTATATAGCCAAAATAGGTCCAAAGTTAGGGCAAAATCAGCAACATTTATTGTGAGCCAAATYAGCCCAATCAATAAGAACCATTATGTATATATAGCTCCGAGTTAAGAGCTAAAAGGACCCTGAAAAAAAGCCAAATTAGCCCCAATTGTTTGAGAGCCAAAACAGCCCCACTTATAAGGGGCCATTATACGGTCAAAATACAGCCCCAATTTTAGAGCTAAAAAGGCCCTGAAAAAGGGCCAAATTAGCCCCAATTGTTTGAGAGCCAAAACAGCCCCACCTATAAGGGGCTATTATAGGGTCAAAATATAGCCCCGATTTTAGAGCTAAAAAGGCCCTGAAAAAGAGCCAAATTAGCCCCAATTTTTTGAGAGCCAAAATAGCCCCACTTATAAGGGGCCATTATAGGGTCAAAATATAGCCCTAAAGTTTGAGCTAAAATGGCCCTAAAATTGGATCTAAAAAATATAGCCCTTTGGGAAGGGCCAAAATAGCACAACTAACATGGGGCCACAAAAGGGTCACAATTTTGGCCCTTTTTCTTGGGCCATTATGGCTCTTTCACTTTTACTGTGTAACTGTTGTTGTTATTGTTGCTGTGTTGTAG